GTTTATGTTCATGTCCCATTCCTGTTCATGATTAATGTTAGGATGCAAGGGCTACAAGTTGGGGTTTTATGACAATAGATTAAGACAGTTTATGGCTGTTTAGATGGACTGACCAATAAGAAAAAGACACATTTATCTCCTGCCCTTTCTAAAAAAAAATACCAGAGTATTTTAATTTATAAGAAAATGCAAACTTTAAAATCTAGCTTTATAAACCTCTCATCCACTTAGACATGCAAAATTTACTAATGCTTCAATATCATAACTAATATATGTAAACACCTTGCAGAGATGGACAGTAATTTTACTTGACTGCTGTACTTAGGTAAAGTTTTTGAGTATTTGTATTTTCCTTGAGTAGCATTTTTTTTATTTGTACTCTACTGCATTTTAATGATAAAGTCATACTTTTTACTCCACTGAAAATCTCAAAAGGCTTTAGTTACTGATTACTTGTTAGGCTGTGTTTGTGCAGTTTGTGTCTATCTTGTTCCACTGACACACTATAAAATTACACACAATACCTTTATACAGTAGTAGGTGGTGATAAACAGCTTTAAACTGGTTCCAAGGAAAATAATACAAGAATAGAAGAATACAAGACATACCAGTTTAAATAGCTTGAACATGTTCGGAATATTTCGTTGCTGGCACCATTTAACTGTGTCACGGAGGACACTTTTTTTTGCAGCACTGCTAAGTTAATGTTATTGTTGGAGCGGCTTGTTGGAGTACGTAACTGGCAATGGGTGGCGATTTCGCTGCTTATATTGATGTCCACTGAATGTAGCAAACAATTGTTCATTGACATACACCGTTAGATTAAACGCACAACATTAATGCATGGAGACTTTAATGTGCTTTTATTGTGAAAAAGAAGTAGTTTTATTCTGCTGTTTAGTTGACTGGTCTACAGAGGCCGAGTCATCCTGTTAAGCTTTATAAAATAACATAAAACAGTAAACCCACTAATGATCTTTTCTTAAACCTCCTCCTTCATGACCGGACCAAAATGTGCCAACAACAGGCAAAAAAGAAAATACATAGAGAAGGGAAACAGTGACACAGACAGAGGTACGGTGAAAGAAAAAAGTCAATAAATACTTTCTGTGTTGCAGAAAGAGAGTAACTTCMGCTGAYAGTGGTTTGCTAATCAAYAAGCAGCGTTTGTATATTTTATTATCAACTGAGCTGTWATGAAAAGAAAAATACCATCAAAYATTGTSATACCTGTGTAATTRTTGAAAATATTGTGATATAAAATTTGGGTCGTACTGCCCAGAACTAGAACCAGGGGTGGGCAACACTAATCTAAAAATTAGTTCCACTAACCCTAAAGCACTAACTCAAATATTTAGGTCCCCTAATTTTAAAGCACTAACGCACTGAAAATTTAGCAAAAGCTAATTCTAAAGCACTAAAATAACCCAGTCAACCCATGAACATTCTTTAACAGACAACATGAGTCACATGTTGCTCTTTTAAGACAGTGAAAGTCCACAGCTGTATTTGAGTTCATATATTGTCAATATAGTGGATAAGTGACACACATATGAACAAAATGAGTGACAGCTTCACCCTCAGCTGTTAACATTAACATTGATCAATAACATTTATAGACCTCAGTTAGTGCTTCTAAATTTAGCCTATAAATATAGCAAATGCTAATCCACTAATAAATTTTAAAATTAGCAAAAGGAGCTCTAAAGCACTAATCAGGAAATTAGTTCCCCATTAGTCCTTTAGTGCTTTAGGGGAACTGTGCCCACCACTGCCAATAACAATACATTTTATAACACTTTTGCAAAAAATCTGTATTTAAAAACAAATACAACATAAGATAAGCCCTACACACACCCGCACACATACACAGCAAATCATTGCAATGTATTTTTCATGAACTGGTAAAAATAGATATACAGTGTTTTAATATAGAAACAGAAAAAGAAAACACTTTTTCCTGAAATCTGTATTTAAGATTTTAAGTCTGCATTTTTAGTTGATAAAACAGATTAAAGATTTATGCATATATTGTGTGACATTACTTATTTAGGCTGTGTTTAATGTTCTGTGTGATCAGAAACATGAACACACTGTCTGGGATGATAGGGCCACGTAGACAGTCCTGCTAACCAGCTGGATCCATGCTGCTTGGTCCGTGTCATCACTGGCCTGGCTGACTTTGGTCTCTTGATCATTTGTCAGTCATTTCACTGCATCTTGCACTTACTTTTTCCTTTTTTTTCCACCTTCGTTTTTCTCCTCCACCCATCTCTTTCTCCTTTCTATTAACACGTTGGCAAATTTTACCCCTCACCTTTCTTTCTTTCTCTTTTTTTAAAAAATGGGAGGGGTCATTCATATTGGACACTCACTTTGGACATTAGCTGTGGCACGGATGCAGAAGTGTCTGTGCCGGAGCACAGGAGCGTTTGGGGGTTTAAAAAAAGCGTACAGGCCGGTTTGGCCTAGAACTGACCAGACAATGGTCACCACGCCCTTGGATAGTTTCAGTGTTTGAATTTGGACGTACGGTGTGAGAGCGTGTGAATGAAGTGAAATATGTGTGTATCAGGCTCATTGTGTGAGAGTTGGCACTTCTGTTTATCAGTCCAGATATAAACTTTATCATTTACCAAATTGTCCTTTCACAACTTACTGAAGCACGTACAGTACAACAGTTGTTAATATACACTCACCGGCCACTTTATTAGGTACACCACGCTAGTAACGGGTTGGACCCCCTTTTGCCTTCAGAACTGCCTCAATTCTTCGTGGCATAGATTCAACAAGGTGCTGGAAGCATTCCTCAGAGATTTTGGTCCATATTGACATGATGGCATCACACAGTTGCCGCAGATTTGTCGGCTGCACATCCATGATGCGAATCTCCCGTTCCACCACATCCCAAAGATGCTCTATTGGATTGAGATCTGGTGACTGTGGAGGCCATTTGAGTACAGTGAACTCATTGTCATGTTCAAGAAACCAGTCTGAGATGATTCCAGCTTTATGACATGGCGCATTATCCTGCTGAAAGTAGCCATCAGATGTTGGGTACATTGTGGTCATAAAGGGATGGACATGGTCAGCAACAATACTCAGGTAGGCTGTGGCGTTGCAACGATGCTCAATTGGTACCAAGGGGCCCAAAGAGTGCCAAGAAAAGATTCCCCACACCATGACACCACCACCACCAGCCTGAACCGTTGATACAAGGCAGGATGGATCCATGCTTTCATGTTGTTGACGCCAAATTCTGACCCTACCATCCGAATGTCRCAGCAGAAATCGAGACTCATCAGACCAGGCAACGGTTTTCCAATCTTCTCTTGTCTAATTTCAGTGAGCTTGTGCAAATTGTAGCCTCAGTTTCCTGTTCTTAGCTGAAAGGAGTGGCACCCGGTGTGGTCTTCTGCTGCTGAAGCCCATCTGCCTCAAAGTTCGACGTACTGTGCGTTCAGAGATGCTCTTCTGCCTACCTTGGTTGTAACGGGTGGTTAGCATTTCCGCCCACAGGACTGCCGCTCACTGGATGTTTTTTCTTTTTCGGACCATTCTCTGTAAACCCTAGAGATGGTTGTGCGTGAAAATCCCAGTAGATCAGCAGTTTCTGAAATACTCAGACCAGCCCTTCTGGCACCAACAACCATGCCACGTTCAAAGGCACTCAAATCACCTTTCTTCCCCATATTGATGCTCGGTTTGAACTGCAGGAGATTGTCTTGACCATGTCTACATGCCTAAATGCACTGAGTTGCCGCCATGTGATTGGCTGATTAGAAATTAAGTGTTAACGAGCAGTTGGACAGGTGTACCTAATAAAGTGGCCGGTGAGTGTAAAGTGCGGTGGATGAAATCCCCATTATTGTTGATGATAACTTGTCTGCTCATAATTGTACTGAAAGTGTGCATGGAAATGTGGAAAAGCTTATTTGTGTGGGTTTTTATCTTTTCAGTCTGTGCTGGCAGGTCAAMACCCGACAACAGTGAGTAACAGCATCTATAGTAAGGAGAAGGTCATAGTTAAAAAAAACTGTAAGAGAGCACTGCTACAGTGAGGACTGTTAGATGAGGTCAGGAACTCCACACAGAAACTACAGATCTGATGAAACCTTTCATTTTTAATGACACCCAGTCCCAAAAATAGTGTTAACCTGACCCAACACAAAAGCAAGATCCTGATTAATTTTTCCATTGAAAAAACAAGCAGCAGTCAAGAGTGTTAAACTACTTCCTTTCATTTWATGTGACAGCAGCCTATTTGATCTATGGCTGTAAAATCAGAATAAATGACACATGAGCCCACTTTACAGCCATGAGCTCATGACATCACAATAAATAAGTTTTTCTTCAACATTTTATGTGGCAGTAAATGCATCAGCTTTAAACTATGGAATCATTTAAACAATGATTAGGTCATATCAACAGGGCAATCAATAGGGCACCTTGATTAGGTGAAGGAAAAGCAGAGATGAGGGTGCCATGCTTGAAGAGGCATCAATTATATATAGATGTGAGACAAGGACGTGGCCATGTAGAAGGAAACAGAAGCTATGTGTAATCTGAGAGGGCAGATGAGCCACCTTACTTTTTCAGATTAGGCACAGAGCACACAGGTGAAGGTTCTCACTGCAGGTAGACTGATCTTCAACTCTTCTCACAATGGACCTGCTGTCTTTAGTGTTTTGCGTCCTGTTGGAAGCCCTGGCTGTGTACTGTAAGTAAGCTGTTTTAACTTGAATTTGCCATTCATTACAGTGACATAAAAAGGATTTGGGTAAGGTTAGAAGGAAAAGTGTTTTATTCCTTTGTAACTGAAGATGACCAGCACAATTAAAGCTCCAGGTTCACAAAATCAGTTTGCATGAATATGTAGCTAACTGATTTAAAAAAAAAAGTTACAATCTGTAAATTTTAGAAAGAACTGAGACCAGAAATGTGTCTCACAGGTTTGTGCGTCTACAAATAATGAATACTGAAATAGCAAAAAATAAAAGGAAAAAGAAGAGAACAAATGTGAATAAAGTTTGAATGTAATGTTTGTAATATTTTTTAAGTTAAATTTGGTTTTGGTACTGTAGAATACAGCATCACAGTGTCATTATGGATTTGATTGTAGCCATCAACATTTCACTTAAAACTTTAATAGAAACAGATCCAAAGAGTTACTGTTTGCAGTTGACAAGATTTATATACATATATGAAAAGATGAGGAAAAAAAACCCGAGCTGATTCACAAAACTAACTTGAAACCTCAGTAACAATAGATGAAGGACATCAACTCAGATAACAGTAGGTAACCATGGCAAATACACTCCTCTGTGTCAAGAAATCATGTCATTAATGAAAAGATAAAGCTGTGGGACTGAAACATTTAATGCTAATTTAAGATAGGCTGTTTGTTGTTGTCATCTCTCCCAAACTCCAATTTGCACTCACTCGTCAATTTGTCATCCTGTTAGTTTGTCATTAGTTTGTTGTTGAAGATGCCATTTCTCTGGCCTTGAACTCTCTATAAACATTTGGATAATGGAAAATCTTATGTCAGGATGCTTTTTATAGACGACAGTTGTGCTTTTAATTCACTCATACCTCTGCAGCTCATTTATAAATTGAAAATTCTTGGTTTACATGAGCTTCTTGACTTGCAGACCTCAAAGGGTTAAATTAACAACTGTTTTTCTAACAAACTCACTTTGAGTACAGGATCTCTGCAAGGTTGTATTTTAAGTCCTCTCTTTTTCACTTTGTATACCTATGATTAAGTTGCTGTCCATCCCAATAATATGATCATCAAATACGCAGATGATACTACTATTTTTGGTTTGACGACTCTTTCCATCAGTCTGAGGTAGAAGATGTTCAGTGAAGTGAACAAAACAGTTTGTTTCTGAACACTTAAAACAAATGAACTGATTGTTGACTTTGGTAAGAGGAATGTTAATCTGCCTATTATTATAAATGGCACAGATGTACAGAGGGTTGATAGTGTTAAGTTTTAAGGAGCGACCAACTCAAAAGATTTGAATAGGCATTTACACACCAATATCATTGTCAAAAAGGCTACAGAGACTCTTCTTTTTACACAAACTCAGTAAGTTCACTCTAAATATAAACATTCTTTTAAACTTTTATCACTGTACAATTAAAAGTCTTCTTGTTAGCTCTATCGTGGTGTGGTTTGGAAATCTCATAGCAAAGAAAAGAAAGTGTCAAACAGAGTGGTACGCTCTGCTTGTAACACAATAGGCTATGTGTTGCCAGCCTTTGAGGACATTTTTAAAGGCAGACTTCTTTCTCAGTCTTTATCTATTATTAATCATCCAACTCAGCCTGTTGAGGATAAGTTTGAGCTTCGTCCCTCGGGGAGACGGTACCTTTCCATCAAATGTTCTACGTCTCTTCATTTAAATAGTTTCTTTCCACTGCTTTTTAAACGGAATGCATTTCGTGGCCTACATGATTGTAATGTGTTGATGAGTGGTTCTTCTGTGGTTGTTAGTGTCTTTTTTTGTATTTATAATTTTTTCATAATTGTCTGTAGTGCCAAAGATATAAGCTCTTGCATATATATGTTTTTTATAATGACAGTTTGTCTGTCTGTACACAGTTTTACTCAAAAAGTTATAAATAGGTTTTCACGAAACTTTCAGGAAATGTTGAGGTTATCTTAAACAAATGATAACTTTTGTGGTGATTTGACCCTAAGGTCTTTGTGTTGATGTTCGCTCTCAGAGGGCTTCCAGTTAAAAGTTAGGTTCCAAGATCTTACATAATACTCTTATGCACCATTATGTGTATGTTAATTTGACACCCAATCTGGACTGTATTCACTTGTGTAAAGTTTCTATTTTGGTGTGGCACATGGCACTGCAGCCAATAACAGCTGAAAATTAATACCTTGAATGCTGAAGAGGTATAGCTTTGCCCTCTATAGTAATTCTTTCAGTCACTGAGATATTTAACTTTGGTTTTTATTCTAAGTCTTTAAAAAGTCTGTTTTGAGGAACTGTCAGTCTGTAAATGGTGTCTTTTCTCTTTACCCTGTGGCTCAGAAAGGACTGATGGATTCGATTTACACAAAGATTAACTTTATTGACATAATTTTTGCTCCTTATTTGTCAAAGATATTGTTGAACAGTTCCACATCTCCTATTATAAAAGGAAASTGTACATCTGTCTGATTTTTTTCTGCTTATCTGGGGTCGAATCGCGGGGGCAGCAGCCCAAGCAGAGACACCCGGACTTCCCCCTCCCATGCCACTTGGGCCAGCTCATCTGAGGGAATCCTAAGGTGTTCCCAGGCCAGCTGTGAAACATAGTCCCTCCAGCGTGTGCTGGGTCTTCCTCTGGGCCTCCTCCCAGTGGGACATGCCCAGAACACCTCCCCTGGGAGGCATCCAGGAGGCATCCTAACCAGATATCCAAGCCACCTCAACTGGCTCTTCTTGATGTGGAGGAGCAGCAACTCTTCTCTGAGTCCCTCCTGGATGACTTTCCAGGAGGAAACTTATTTTGGCCACTTGTATCCAAAAACTTGTTCTTTCAGTCCCTACCCAAAGCTCATGACCATTGATGGGGGTCGGAACATAGACGACCAGTAAATTGAGAGCTTCGCCTTCTGGCTGAGCTTCACCACGACAGACCGGTACAGCGCCCGCATCACTGCAGATGCAGCACCAATCAGCCTATTGATCTCTTGCTCCATTCTTCCCTCATTCGTGAACAAGACCCAGAGATACTTAAACTCCTCTGCTTGGGGCAGGACCTCCTCCCCGACCCGGAGAAGGCATGCTAACCTTTTCTGGCTCAAGACCATGGTCTCGGATTTGGAGGCACTGATCCTCATCCCAGCTGTTTCACACTTGGCTGCGAACCGCTGCAGTGAGAGCTGAAGATCATGATCTGATGAAGCCAGTAGGACCACAACATCTGCAAAAACCAGAGATGCAATCCTGAAGTCACCAAAATAGATCCTCTCAACACCTTGGCTGCAACTGGAAATTCTGTCCATAAAAGTTTTGAACAGAATCGGTGACAAAGAGCAACCTTGGCAGAGTCCAACTGACTTACTGTTGGCAATGCAACCAAACTCTGACAAAAAGAAAGCTTAATTAAAAATTTAATTAATTAATTAATTGCAAATTACTTCTAAACAAGAATGGCACAATTTGTACAATATAAATTTCCTGTGTTGCAACACAACCCCTGCTAATAATGTCCCAATTCTTAGAGTTTGCAAATGTTTTTATATTTCTTGTTTATTTGTATTTCAGTTGTTTTTCACTTTCTATTTTTAAAGCATGCCAATTTCAGTTTTCTGATGGGATATTCATGTCTACAGTGAATATTAATGGTTCCCTTTCACAAGTTTTTCATTACATAGTTAGTTTTTCTAAATATAAGCATCAACTGTTGGATAAACCTCAGTTTAAGCTGAATATCTTTTGTTAGAACATTGATTCCCTGTAAGTTACCAAGGTGCAACAGCTCATTATGTCCAAAACAATTCTCTAAACTACAGAATTACTGTATATTTCGTTTCATTAATTAATTAATTAATTAATTTAAAAGGACAGTGCACATTAATCAATATTCTGTGAATAGAAATGTGCTGGAATTAGCACAACAGATACATTTCATCCATGCCCTTCTTAACTAGCAATTAAAAAGTTAAAGATTAAGCTCCTTCAGGTCATTCATAAATCACAGGCCAGGTCCGGCTCACATGTACGTGTTTAGAAATGAACCCAGCAGTGTGGAACCAAAAAAGTTGTGGAGCAGATCTCAGCTTGGCTGAACCGCAACGTATTTACCTCTATTGTCGGCTCAGAGGGGTGTCAGAGGTGGGCTCACTTTAGCCCCCTTGCCGCCTCTGTGTTTTTTTCCGAATGATCTAAGGTGGACAGAACACGCGTCAGTCCTGGACTGAGCTGTCTTACGAATGAAGCATGTGTGTGCCTGTGCTTGTTTGTCATAGGACTGCCTGTTTCAACTGAAAATGTAAAAAAAAAATCACCAAAAATTGCTAGATTGTCAAAAAGAAATTGAAAATGTTAAAAAAAAAAAACGGTCTGGTTTATCTTTACATTAACATTTGTGTGACAATTGTTCTAAGGAACAAAAGTTAATTTGGACAGTAAGCAAACTTAAAATCCAAAAAAAAAAAAGATGTAAACAGTTGATCTTTTTAAATCAACAATAATTTATTGTTATCAAGTCTAAATGAACTTTCCTGCCATATTTTCAGCAACTGGAAAAGGGGTAATAATGTTGTAGTAATTAACCTAATATATTAGGACCTTCTTGACAGAAGATTAGGCATAAAGACTGTTTGTTATAAATCAGAGAAGATGTCTTCAACTATTATGATATACTGCATGTATTTATTTTAATAAAGATTAAAATAAAAAATTTAAATACAGAGAACAGACTGTCGATGCAGAAAACACCTTGGAATGAGTTCAACTTTTGACATGAAAAATATTTTAATAAGTAATAAGTTTAATGAAAGTAAAAGCATCTGAGACAAACATTTGTTATTTAAAGCTAATTATGTTTTCCTGAGACTGAAATAACTTTCCATAAAAAATGTTGCGGTTGTCTCACTTTGATATTGGAGGCTTCACTCAAAATAAAAGGTAAACAATATGTTACCATTCAGAGTACGTCTTTTATGCCAGGTCCTATTTCCTTCCTGATAATACAGCTTGTTCCCCTTGACAGTAGCTTTATTTTAAAGGCACTTTCTTTGAGTCTTGAGGCAGACACATCCTGCTACTTAGTCTCATCTCTGGGGTTTGCTGCACGGCATTTTCTTTGTAATAAATTGATAATTATCAACAAGCTAGGTTCCTTTGCCTCCGTTATCATTTCAGAACAAATACACTTTTAATATCCCCCTTTGTTTGTCTTTTCACCTTTTTTTCTCTCTTTCACAAAAAGAATGTGAGAAAATAAAAAAGATCGAGAAATGACAAATGCAAAATTCAAAGAACTAGGATCTTTTATCATACGCTTTGCAAAATACTGTGAAAAGATTCATTGAGTCTGGGGAAATCCTAATGAGAAAAGGCCAGAGCCTTTTGTGATATTTCAAGTCCTCAGGTGACATGGCATAAAAACACAGTAAGGCTACTGTGATCAATATGACCACATGGGATGGAGAGTACCTTAAAAACCATTGAGACTAAACACAAGTAACCAATACACTAAAGACTGCTACCTGAAACTGTAGACAGTAAAAAAAATCAAAAACAAAAAACCTGTGTGGGAACACTGCAGACTTTTAGTTAGGATTATAATAGTGATTAAAGTTACAAATGGACTGGGACCAGAGATTGTGAAAACACACAACAGCTACAACTGTAAGATCATTACCCACCTCCTCTATTCAAGCCAGTTCAATTCATTCTTTGTGTCTTCATAAAATAATTGCGGCCATCCACTTCACCGCTTATGAAGCTCATGGAAAAGGCAGAAGGACAGCCAGCCAGAGTRTACAGCTCTGTGAACACACATACGCCTGTTTCCATACCATAGATTTTCATTGTATTGACTAGAGATGGCTTCCTCCCTCCAATGCGAAGATAATGATGATAAACTTTTAATGAAATGTGTGGTTTAAAATTGTAGTGAGTATAGACGGCTTTCTTCCGTTGCTGTAAAAAATAATAATGATAAAAACTCAATGAAAAGTTTAGTTTAGCGCAACAAATTTAGGTCCGCAATTAGCATTTTTGTGCTTCAGGGGACTAGTGCCCACCAATGCTAACCACTAATGCTAATTTTACATACGGCTATATTTCAGCCTGTTTTAAAACTTGCAAAGCTGAAACTGGTACAGCCAAGAACAAGCTTTGACAAACTCCGAATGCTGTATTAAAATTCAGGATAGCTAATTTGAAACCGCAATTATTTGGCCATTTTATTAACATATTGGGCTGTGATTGTGTGTGGTGGTATTTAAAAACAATCCTCACCACATACAGTCAGAAAAAAATATTATGAAGGCCACCACAGCTAAAATCTGAAATTGACCACATCTAAGCCATTTTAGTCATTTTAGGACAAAATTTTCTATGGTGGTAGATGACAGTTTAACTCTAAACTAAAGTCAGTCCGTCTGTCCATTTTCTGCCGCTTATCCGGGGTCGAATCGTGGGGGCAGCAGCCTAAGCAGAGAGACCCAGACTTCCCTCTCCCCAGCCACTTGGGCCAGCTCATCCGGCTGAAACCCAAGGCGTTTCCAGGCCAGCCGAGAAACATAGTCCCTCCAGTTAAACTAAAGTCGAACTATAAATTTTGAGTGGATGGCACTTTCATAATTTCTCCAGGTCCTTGTCTAGTTCTTTGTACTTGTGCCTATTACATTAAGGTTTTGTACAATTGTTTATAGCAAAATAAAGTGGCAGTTTGCAGTTGCATTTTAGAAAATGTTCTTCCAGCACTTGAGTTATTCAGAAAACTACAGAGGCAGAAAATCAAATAGTGACCCCTGCAGACTGTGCTAACACCAGATAATGATGCTGAGACTGATCCTTTTTGAGAAACAATACATCTCTGATATGAAGGCATTTGTTTGGTGAATTCTTGTTTTCCTTTTATTTTAGCTGATGCAGCAGCTACAAAAATGAAAGTGCAACTGTCAGTTTTGTTTCTTTCTGAAAATCCAGCCAGATTTCATCCTCACTGTTTCTCTCTTCACTGTTGTGTGTGTTTCAGGTCAACAGGGTGCAGAGGACCGCATAGTGGGAGGCTATGCACCAGTTCCACATTCCATCAAGTACATTGTGTCAGTTCAGACCACAAACCGCCAACACTTCTGTGGGGGCTTCTTGATCAGTCAATTTTGGGTAATCACAGCAGCGCACTGTAACATTGGGTGAGCTGGTTTTCCTCTTTTAATTTACCTTTACAGAACACAAAAATGTAATATTTCATCTATCCATTCATTTTATTCACCCTCTCTTTTTCAGTGTAACAGGTACCTATTTTAGTACCCTGACTCTAAGCACAATCACTGTGCAAGAGGCAGGGTAAAACCTGAACACATCTCAAGTCTGTCTCATACAAGCTGCCCTTCACATGTGGGAAGAATTTAGAGTTACCAATGAACCAAAAACGTTCATGTTAGGTTAATGAGGGAACCAGAGCACCAAGAGAACACCCCTGCAAACTATACTCAGAAAGGTCCAGGCCAGGGTGTGATCCTGCAGCTTGCTGAAAGGTGACCTTGCCAACTGCACCGCCATGCTGCCAAAGCTGAATAATCCCAGACAAAAACACAAGATTGAGGAAGCCCTAAAATAAAATTCTAGGGCACCCAGTACTTTCTTTTTACACAAAGTTCTAAAAAAAATAAGGTCTGGTGCGAGTAACTGAGACCTGACTTTTATGTGTGGCATTGTGTGTGTGCAGATTAGATTAGAGGGATTTACAAGTCATACGAGATGTTCAGCTCTGACCTATCAGAGCTGAAAGAAAACACATGAAAATGACACCAGTACCCAATGGTGGTGCTTCTGAAAACCGACACAACTGTTGGTGCCAGTGAAACTCAGTGACAATGTAATTTTTGGTGAACAACACACAGTTTGGTCTGATAAAAGGAATTAAACATTTGGCATTAAATCTACATGATGAATTGAATGATATTTTATCTGATATTAAATAGGATACATTATGTTACTGACTGTATTGTTAGGCTTTCACAGATATGTGTCAAATGGAAATATTGATAATTAGATTTTTTTTCTCATATAATACTTACCTGTTTAAGAAATTAAATATAGGTTTTCTACTGTGCTTTATGGTGGTTTCAGTTTGTTTAGCTGGCTTCTACAGCTGTGTTCAAAACTTTAAACATTCTGGAAAAAAAACAGACGTTTTCAGAAAATATAAATCAGGGGTGTCAAACTCCAATAACCAAGTTTAATTCCAAAGATTCAGACTTTAATTCCATATATTCAAGGTCAATTTCATATATTCAGACTCTCATTATATATATTTAAGCTTTCTTCAGAATATTCTGGATGTTCAAGATTCATTCTTTATATTCAGACTTATGACAACATACAGTATTTATAATAGTTCCCTGAATGGAATGCTATGGCATACCCCTAATTCCCAATAGGTACACACATAATTCCCAGCAAGTCCATTCAGACTTTCATTCAATATATTCAGACTCTTACTAAATACATTCAGACTTCAGATTAATTCAATATAATCAGATTTACAGCAATATGTTTGTATGATAGATAGATAGATAGATAGATAGATAGATAGATAGATAGATAGATAGATAGATAGATAG